CTGACTCATTCCTGAATACCTTGCTGACCCCCCTGCAGCTGAAGCTTCCTCAACTGAATACCTCAGCTCATGTCCCCGCCCCTCACCCAACCGCAGTATAAAAAAAGCGCCGCAGGTACCCTGTCCTTGGGGGTACGTGGGTCTCCCGGCGACGCAGAATAAACTTTCCTTCCTTCCTTTTCTGATCAACTCTCTTTATTTCCTTCGCCACCTCCTGAGCCACCTAACCTAACAGAGTTCACAGCTAAGAATGAACTCAGAGTTAAGAACTCTAATGCACGAGAAAGTATAGTAAGAGAAAGAAAGTCAGAGAAGCAGAAGTGAGCCAGCTGGGCTGTATGGGCTCAGGAAACTAGTTTCAGAGGCAAAAGAAGGGTCCTTGGAGCTTAGGAGAAAGAAAGTAAAGGTAAGTGCCTGAGAGACTCGGCTGGGCATGAGAGAGAGAGAGAGAGAGAGAGAAAGAGAGAGAGCACTCGAGCGTGCTGGGTCCTTCATTTTAAGGGTTTTTATCTCTTTTCCAAAGGCAGAGAGTTTAGGGGAGGTCTCAGGGGAGGATCTCAATAGAATATTCATCAGCTTTCCTGGTGTGTCCTTTCCGGGTCCTGGTGCACACAGTTTGGTCCACGCCAGGGCAGGGGGTTTAGTCATTGCAGCTGGTCCTGCAGTCACCATGGCTCTGCTCCATCTGGTTTTGCTGCTTTTCGGGGCCTGGGGCTGAGACACAGCCGAGGCCTAAATGTCATCTCTAGGTTGAGCACAGCTGCCCCTGTAGTCAGCAGCCTGGGGCTTGTTCCTGAGGTTATGGTGCAGGTCAGACCCTCAGGGTCCTGAGGGCTTAGTGCTTAAGGGAGGGGCTGTGCACGGGCTTGTGGGGAGTCTGTGAGGCAGTTCTCCTGCCCCTGCTCCTCCTCGGGGTGGAAAGGTCATCCTGGGGTAATGTCTTGGCCTATGATAATGGTTTCTCTAGTTTTGCCCATTGCTAAGTACCCTGGGGACATTCCATAGCTGGCCTATCATTCCTGCTGTGCTCACGTCTATCTACCTGCCTGCTCTGTCAGGATCATCCTGACATTCCAAAGGTATGTTATTGTAGATGCAACAAGATAATAGATAGGCTCAGTTAAGATAAAAATTGACCTTTGTCAGGGAAGATACCAGTGCAGGACAGGACTATCGCCATGACTCGTGTTCAGTTGAGACGTTTTCATTTCAGACCATCCTATGTGGTTACTTTAGGTCTCTGAGTTTGTAGGGCTGCCATGCAGGACTCCCTGAGCGTGTCAGGTTCAGTGTGTGGTCCTGTACCATCCACATTGTTATGTTGGTATTTAGATGGCTCCATTGCTGACTGGGCAGCTCTTACACCAACGCCCTGACCCTCATTGAACACTCACATGCTTCCAAAGGAGGTTTTATCCGATTTACAGGATGTCCCATCTGGCCAAGGCCACACAACAAGAAAGACGTAGGTCCAGAACCCCAACTCAGCTTTTGTTCTAGAGTCCTCCTTAGGCATTCCATAAAACTGCCTGAAGCAGCAGAATGGGCAGGGGGAAAGGTGCATTCGAGGGGCTTCCCAAGACACACAAGTCCATTCCCACCCCTGCAACCTCCATGGCACTGCCCAGTAGAGGAGAATCCCAAATGCCCTTCATCTACATCCTGGCACCTGGATGACAACTGCAGCCCATTGCTACTGATAAGGGAGATTGCAGGCTCCAGATTGAATGAGGGAGCAGCCTTTTAGGATTTGAGCTTCACTAATCATCTCTGCTGATTAGATTACCTCCCCCATGTACCTTCAGAAATTGAGAACGGGACTTGAATTGACTGCTCATTACTTGTTCCAGGAAACCATGGCAACAAGAGTCCACCCAGTGCTGCTCCCAGCCAGTGTGGCTTTCCTCTGACAGTTCTGCCTTGGCATTCCTGGCAAACACAGAAGAAGTGAGTCCCCCTGTGGGGCAGCTTCGAGGTCCACGTCACCTTGATCCTATGACTCCACACAAACAGGCCACCTTGTGGGTGACACCCAGGGCAAGGTGCTCACTTGTAAAATGAGCATTTCTAGCAAGTGTATTTCAGGTTGTGGGTAGCAACCCATTAGAAGGTATATTAGTCTTCTATTTCTGCCGTAACAAATAACACAGTCAGAGATATTAAAACAGATTATTTTACAATCTGGAAGTCAGAATCCCTTCTGGAGGCTCTAGCGGAGAACCCACTTCCTTGCCTTCCCAGCTGTCAGAGGCTAGAGACTGCCCACATTTCTCGGCTTGTGTACACATCGCTGTGATGCCTCCATTGGGACATCTCCGGTTCCGACCTGCTGCCTGTTTCATAAGGACCCTTGTGGCTGGGCCCCCGTGGGTAATCTCCCCATGTCAAGACCTCAAGCCACATCTGCCAAGTCCATTTGGGGTGATGTAAAGGGAAGAATATTCTGTTTATGGGAATTAAGAGGTGTGCATGCTGGGGTGGTCATTATTCAGCCATTTAAGAACCAACGTTTTTAAATTCCACTTTAAAAAGTAAAACACATGCAGTGTTTCTGGTTCCTTGTGTATCACTAACATGATGTAGTTGTTAGGTTAGGTGGCTCAGGAGGCAGCGTAGGAAATAAAGAGAGTTGATCAGAAAAGGAAGGAAGGAGAGGTTTTATTCTGCGTCCCCAGGCGACCCAGGAACCCCAAAGACAGGGCACGTGGATCCATACCAACAGGGAGGGGGGGCGCTTTTTTTATACAGCTGTTCAGTGAGGGCAGGGGAGCATGAGCTGTGGGAGTTCCCGCCGCGGGGGTTGTCATGGTTTCCAGGTGTCGTCATCTGTCTGGTAGCTGACCTGTTAGGAATTCCAGGGCAGGACCGGTATCTGCGTCACCATTTACCTGGTGCCTGACCTGTTACGGATTCTAGGAAGGGCCCGGTATCTATGTCACCATCTTCCTGGCGGAGGCATGCATCAGCTCCTGGACCCCCTTTCGACCTAACAGTAGTCACCCAGAAAAGTTTGACTCCAAGGCCTCTTCTTGCTGTCTCATTAGCAGAATGACTTACTCCCTTATGAAGCAGTGCCCGAAGAATGGTCTTGCGATGACTTGAGCCTTACTCTGGAAAGACCAGACTTCTCACACAGTATAAGTACGGCTGTTTCCTTCCCCCATTTATATATCTAAGCCGGGACTGAGAATGAGAGTGTGCTGGGAGCTAAGGCTGAAGGAAGGCTCAGTGTAAAGGCTTCGAGTGTCACATGATGACTAAGTGCAAGATATGTAATATTCTCCCTCAGGGAGGGTTAGGTTTTGAAAAACCCAATATGACAACTCAGAGTTGAAAAGAGTCTGCAAAACACTTCCATATTTCTAGTCCAACCCCAACCCCACCATGTACAGAGATTTAAAATCTTTACAAGTTTTTTTTAAGGGAAAGTTCTGATTTAGATCCAGTGTTTCTGGTTGAAGGATACAAGCGAATATATTTCCATGTCTGCGATCTGGAGTGTGGTCTGTTAGAGCTGTGTATGCTGTGGAGACCACCATCCAACGGTCATGAGTGATACACAGCGGAAGCCTCATGTCAGAGTGGTGATGGCCTGGGGTCAGAGTGGAAAAGTAGCTGTCCTGGCTCAGCGAAGCAGCTGGTGTTCAGCTGGAGAGTCTTAAAGAGACTACGACTGTTGTAATTGCACCTCAGGAAGCTGGAACCTTATAGGATTCCTTACCCTCCTCCAAAGGGCTCTTCTGCTCTTTAATTGGATTTGGAGTACCTGGGAGAATTTGGCTAAATCTCTAAGTTCTCAGAGAAAGTTGTCTGTCTACTTATTTGAAAGAGTAATCTGAGTTAGAAAATATTTCCTAAGTAGAACACCTGGTTTCCTTCCCTTACAGAGAAGGGAAATTATGCCAAGGGTTGGGGGTGGCTTCCTTTGCCCCTCCCCCACATCTTGTATATTAAAGGAGTAGAAGGCATTGGAGTCACCTAAATGCACCCCCAGAGGGAGCTGTTCCTAAACCCCACTGTTGATTAAATTCTCTGCCAGTGTTGGGGATGGGAGTCAAAAAAAACTAAGTGACAAGAAGCAATGGAGTCATCAATTTCCTTATTCACGTCCACACAGACCAAAACTGCTCAGAGGATTATGGGAAGGTACAGCACCCACTCTAAAGAACAGTCCTTGGACTTCATCTATAATAATGAAAGCGTAATATGCTAATTAGACTGGATGTCCTTCTGGACGACCTTCCGGATAAAGCCTGGGTCCCGGGTGCCAGAGGGAAGCCAGTGCCGGCAGCCGGGGGAAGGAAAACCTACTCTTGCATGAATTTTGTGCATCGGGTCTCTAGTCTAATATAATGAGAAGACAAAGCAAAAGGCTCACTGCCACCACTTTATTGAAAATCCAATCACTGATTTAACATCCTGGTTCTTTTCTTGCGCAGGTAAAAGACGAGGCCTGGAGCTGCTACCACACCTGCGGAGACAACTACAACCGCCATGGCTTTGAAAGCAACATATCCAGCAGTTCCGTGCCCTTCAGCATCTACTGTGTCTGGAAGAGAAGCAGACGTCCGAGTCTTAAGCTCATGTTTAAATCATAAGCGTGAGTTGAAGCTGAAGCTTTACATATGAGGGCTCCCCAGAGAAGGAGTGAAATGAACTCTCAAAGTACTCCTCTGGGAAGCTGGCAACAGGGTACAGCTTTAACCCTTGCACCAGCGCCTCCTCTCCACACTCAGTGTCGCTCCCACTTGCTTTTACTGACCTAAACTCAGATGGCTGAAAAGGACCTTACAGTCCCAGCCTGTTGTCTAACACAACGTCCTGGACCAACAGCTCTCCCAGGGTATTAGTTAGGGATTGAAGACAGCTTAATTTCAAATTCTAGGCCTAAAATTAAGACCATCTGGGAAGAGGCTATAAGATATTAATAGCTTGGGTTTGGCAGTATCAAGGTACATGCCTTCTGACCCATTAATCCTATTTCTAGAAACATATCCTGGAGTTCTTATATAGCAGGCAAAGAATTAAGAGGCTTCTGATGTGGCATGAGTGACAAAACTGGAGGTAACCTAGATGGAAATCTAGTTAGCTATTAACAATGAGGTAGGTCTCTGTACAGATATAAGATACAGTTTTTAAAAGCAGCTATAGAACTGCAGGGAGACTATATGACCCCTGTGTTAAAGGGGACTTGGGAAAGCAGAAGCTATTCCTGGGAAGAGACTGTCGCTCTCCTCTTGTTCAGAGGTGAGCACGCATTATGTTCGCATAATGAAATGTCACACACAGCCTCGCACTAGCAGCCAGGAAGGGCCCTCGGCTCCAGGTCCATACCTCTGCCCGAGGAGTCATCTGACAACAGGAGGATGGGTCCCGGCAGACTTACTGTTTTCTCTTCTTCAGTGGCCCCTGTGGCTGGAGACAGGTAATAGAGTTTGAGCTCTGAACTAGTGCGCACGAGTGCCAAGCAGTATGTCCATAGGCCTCCCAGAGCAGCCCTCTGTGGCGCCCCTGCTCTGCTGGGTAGCGTGCGGCCTTGGCAGGACAGGGCACACACCTTCCTAAGGACAGAGTGGCTCCTGAAGAATTTTACGTCTGAATCCACCGAGATTCAAGAAGAATAACCTTCTAGAGCAGGGGTGGGCAAACTTTTTGACTCGAGGGCCACAATGGGTTCTTAAACTGGACCGGAGGGCCGGAACAAAAGCATGGATGGAGTGTTTGTGTGAACTAATATAAATTCAAAGTAAACATCATTACATAAAAGGGTACGGTCTTTTTTTTTTTTAGTTTTATTCATTTCAAACGGGCCGGATCCGGCCTGCGGGCCATAGTTTGCCCACGGCTGGTCTAGAGTCATGTCTGTAAAAGATCAGACTTGTCCACAGGGCTGCTCAAGAGCTTGCCCATGTCAGACTCAAACGGGAAGGCCGACTGGGCCACGGTTGCCTGGACTCTGAGTAGGTAAAGAATGAGGCCTCATCCTTAAATTTTGAAATGATAAGGCTTGTTTTGAGTAAATTCACAGTAATGAGGACTTGAAATTTTACCTCGCCTGCTTCTCGGGGACGCAGGGCAAGTCCCGGAACACAGAGCGGAGTGGGGAGAGCGCTGATCGCAGAGGAAGGCGCTGCAGTGGAAGTGGACCTGGGACGGCAGGAGGGCGAGGTGAGTCCAGGCACCCACAGCCCCGCCCGTGGCTGTTAATTACTCACCAGGCTGGCGAGCACTTGGGCAGCTGACACAAAGGCAAAGGTCTTCACATCGAACCTCCGGTAGTGGGCAGGGTAGGTCACAGAGGAGCCAACCGGATGGAAGGTGGTTCTGTGCTTGTCCAGGTTGTATGCACAGCTAGGAGGCATGTGCCAGGGAGGACGTCAGCCATTCACCCAGGCAACTCAACTTTTGCCCAGATTAAGTCACATGCGGCACCGTCGGGACCACTGCTGTACGTGTTACTGCACCTGGTTCTGATTTGGCCTCTCAACAGTACCCATGCCATCCTAAGTAGCATGTGCTGGTTTTCCTGCTATCAAAATTGTATCGATACAATTTAAGTACCTATTTGTTTGCCAGCTAAACACAAGAGCTACAAGATTGGTATGTGTGTCTTCAGACAACACTGGCTGGATTCTTCTGACTATTTATGTCCCAGGCAGTTAGTATATGTCAGTGACAAAAAAGGTAGAGAAGTCTAGATGCTAGCAGAGAGTGAGAGCTATAAAAAAAGTAGTGTGTGCGCTGGGCGGAGGGGGGGGGGGCGCTCAGTTGGTTGGAACATTGTCCCCTTCACCAAAAGGCTGTGGGCTGGATCCCCAGTCAGGGCACATACCCGGATTGTGGGTTCAGTCCCCAGTCGGATTGTGTACCAGAGGCAGCCTACTGATGTTTCTCTCTCACCTTAATGTTTCTCTCTGTCCCCCTCCCTCTCTCTCTCTAAAATCAATAAGAACGTATTCTCAAGTGAGGTTTAAAAACACCACAGTGTGCCAGGCGGTAAGTGCTAAGGAAAGAAGAGTCCGCAGGGTCGGGGAGCAGGGGCTCAGCCTGACTCCCTGGAGAAGGAACCCTGGACAGGCTTATGGGTGGAGGAGCGCTGCGCGCAGCACGGCTCCCTCCCGTGGCCACAGGGCTGTACCCAGAGGCCAGGAGCCTAGCGACAGAGGGCACAGCTGGAGAAAAAGGGGGTGCGGACCCACAGGCGGAGCCCGCGCCAGGGCAGCTCAGGCCTAGAGGCAGATGGCGCCCAGTCGCACCATCTCGCCGAGTAGACTCTGGGCTCGTTAGGAAGCAGAGCCGCTGCCTGTGAAGTCCCTCGTGGAGTGACGAAGGCCACGCGCGCCTGGCGCTCAGGGGTAGGGACCGGAGGGCGGCCTTCTCCGCAGGTGAGGAGCCCGGCCGGCCTCTGGGGAAGCCCCCTCTTCTAGACCCGGGGGGACGGGCAGTGTGGCTACTGAGCCCGGGACTGACCCTGAGAAGCCAGGACGGAAGTCGGGGCTTTGCACGTGGGCCCCGGGGCTCACCGGGCTCCGTGGGAGGGACCTACCCGT